AGAGATGTTGCTAATGGTCACAACAAGAGATGAAGAGAGATTCTAGGACCAGTGGTACTTGGACTCAGGATGCTCATCACACATGACTAAAAGGAAATATTGGTTTATTAACATGAAGCCCTCATTGAAGAACATGGTGAAATTTGTAAATGAAAATACTCTAGCAGCTGAAGGTATTGGAGATGTTTTGATTATGAGGAAAGATGACAAGAGGTCAACAGTTTCCAATGTGTTGTACATACCAGGCATGAAAAGTAATTTGCTCAGTATAGGATAACTAGTCGGAAAAAAACTACAAGGTGTCGATCAAAGACAAGATGATGAGAGTTCTCGATGCAGGTGGTAGGTTGATCTTGAAGGCTCAAATGTCTCATAATAGAACCTTCAAGATTGAACTCAATGTGATGGAGCACAAGTTCCTGGCAACCACAACTAAGAGAGATGAATGGTAATGGCATTTTCGACTAGGCCATCTTAACTTCAATGACATCATAGATCCAAAGAGGAGAAATATGGCTTTAGGATTACCTGAAATCGACATTCCAAGTGAAGTTTATGAAGAGTGTGTTCAATCGAAACAACACAAGAATAACTTCAACAAGGATGCAGGAAGGAAGTCGAAGGCAATTCTGGAAGTCATATACTCTGATGTATGTGGTCCAATCCAAGTGGATTCGATTGCAGGCAACAAATACTTTGTCACATCCATAGATGATTACAGTCAAAAGCTATGAACTTACCTCATCAAGAAGAAAAGTGATGTGATAGAGATATTTGCCAGATTCAAATCTATTATCGAAAGATAGAGTGGTCAAAAGATGAAAATTTTGAGGTTAATGGTGGTGGAGAGTATGTGTCAGAAGAGTTTGATGCATAATGTGAAAAAGAAGGGATTGTGCATGAGGTGGTGCCACCCTACACTCCACAGCAAAATGGAATTGCAGAAAGAAAGAACAGAACCATCATGAACACGGTGAGAAGTATGTTGAATGTAAAGCATCTATCCAAAGAATTATGGGGTGAAGCGGTTTTGAAAGCAACATACATATTAAACAAATGTCCGACGAAGAAGTTTGAAGGAATCACACCAGAAGAATATTGGTCTGGTGTCAAGCCTAGCCTCAGTCACTTGAAGGTGTTTGGATCTATAGCACATAGACATGTGCCAAAACAGTTAAGAAGAAAGCTTGATGATAAGTCGAATAAGATGATCTTGATAGGATATCATTCGAATGGAGGTTACAAGTTATTTGACCCAGTAAATAAGCATGTAATGATAGCAGGGACGTGATCATAGATGAGCTTAAAGAATGGGATTGGACTAAGAATGTCATGAAGGATTCAATGAGAATCTCCTGTGAAGAACCAACCACTGGAGTTGAAAGTGAAGTTCGACAGGAACAAGTCAGAGATGAAACTGGCCCAAGCAGACCTCGACGAATAAGACACATGTATGCAAGGTTGCAAGAATGTGTGATTACATCAGATGATGTGGTCGACGAAGAAGGTGAGATGGTAAACTATGCTTTCTACGCAGATGTCGAACCAGTAAATGCAACTGAGACATTGGAAGATTTGAAGCGGGTGAAAGCAATGAATGAGAAGTTAGACTCCATCGAAGTTAATAACACCTGGTCACTTGTTGATTTGCCTAAAGGCAAGATGGAAATTGATGTTAAGTGGGTTTACAAGGTGAATGTGAATCCTAAAGGAAAAGTAACTCGACACAAGGTGAAACTTGTGGCGAAAGGATTTCTTCAGAAGGAAGGAATCGACTTCGACGATGTTTTTGCACCTATTGCTAGAATTGAAACAATCAGATTAGTTATTGGTCTAGCAAATATGAACAATTGGCATACATGTCAGATGGACGTGAAATGTGCACTCCTTAATGACCCCTTATACGAAGAAGTTTATGTTGCATAACCAACTGGATTTGTGAAACGAGGCGAAGAAAGAAAGGTGTACAGACTGCATAATGCCCTGTATGGACTTAAGCAAGCTCCAAGAGTTTGGAATAAGAAAATCGACAACTTCTTAAGAAAGAAGGAATTTGTGAAGTGTACGACTAAGCATGGAGTGTGCGTAAGGAAAAGCAGTAGTGAACTGCTTATACTATGCCTCTACGTCGATGACCTCTTGATAACAGGAAGTTGCAAGAAGGAGATCGAAGACTTCAAACATAACTAGAGTTAGGAGTTTGAAATGCCAGACTTGGGAAATCTCTCATATTTCTTTGGCATCAAATTCTACAATAGTAGTAGAGGTTTGATGATGCACCAAAGAAGATATGCAGGTGAAATACTCAAGAGATTTGAGATGCAAGATTGCAACCCAACTTCGACTCCAGCTGAGACCATATTGCAACTGTCGAAGGATTCAGATGAAGATAATGTCGACCTAACCCATTATAGAAGACTTATTGGGTCACTTCGATAACTTTGTCACACAAGGCACGACTTAGCATACATTGTGGGTATGGTAAGTAAATTTGTGCAGAAGCCAAAGGTATCACACCTAGCAGTGATGAAGAGGATACTAAGGTATCTAAAAGAGATTATCGACTATGTCATTTTGTTTCCTGCAGCTGATGAAGGAAAAATGCAAGTTAATGGAATACACTACTCTAATTGGTGTAGTGATGCTGAGGATGAAAATTCCATAGCTGGCTATATGTTTATGCTAGGTGGTGCATCGTTGCTTGGAGTTCGAGAAAGGAGCCAGTAGTGGCATTGTCATCATGTGAAGCAAAATATATAGATGCTTCTTTTTGTGCATGTCAAGCAACTTGGACGGTGAACCTGATTGAAGAGATTACAACAAAGAGTTATGGAGCAATTACCATGAAGATCGACAACACGTCAGCTATCAACTTGGCGAAGAATCCAATAGCACACGATCGAAGTAAGAACATCAAAATGAGGTTCCATTATCTTCGAGAGCAGGTAGTAGAAGAGAAGATGAACTTTGAACACTGCAAAATTGAGAATCAGATTGCAGACATCATGACGAAGGGAGTGTCAGTTGAAGAGTTCAATAAGCTAAGGTCTATGATGAATGTAGATAGTTTAGACACAATGAATTATGTGGTGTGTTAAATATGTAATTCATTATTTTAGAAAGATCAATTTTGATTTAGAAAGATTAGATTATATATTTTTGGACTTTTATAGTTTGACCTTTGCCTTGGGGTGCAAGCTAACCTAAATCTATAAATAAGGAGAAACCCTTATTTTGTAAACTTCTCATCTTATCATATTTTGTAATTCACAATTTGCCGTTACAAGTGAAATAACATAATTTTCACAACTTATAGGTAGAGAGAGAGTTCTCTGCAGAAAACTATTCATCTTCTTCTTCTCCAACATTTATTTTCTTTCTTTCTAAATTTTTCTTTCATTGTCATTATGTGAGTTGAAACAATCTTGAGATCAAGATTGATTAAATGAAAATCTCCATAAATTGTGGTTGAATTTCCAACCAGTATTATAAAAAAACATTCAAATTTTATGACTATTTTAAATAAATGTTAATTATTTTTGAACTCTTTAATATTATTATTTATAATAAACAATTTTAATTAAAAAATATTTAATAAAAATATTTAAATAAGTTCTCCATCAAATATTAAAAGGAACATTTTAATGAATTTTAACATATTTTATATGAAATTTCGAAAACTAACTACACTTAACTTAATTTTAATTTTTTAATACCACAACTTTAATTTTATTTTATTTGTTTATAACAGTGATTAGTGGGGGTATTTTTAAATATTTAATAATGACATCATTCTTATTATACTATAATCTGATTAAAAATATATTAATACGGTCAATTGAATAAAATTTTCCTATAATATAAAATTGATACTTTAGTAAAATTAAATTTCTCATAAAATAATAAAAATTTATCATTTACTAAAATTCTCAATTCTTTTTGTTTGCAATTTACAACAATGACCAGAATTTCATTTGCATTAGAGTGTACTACAAACCACTTTAGGGGTACATTTGTCATTTCATGTCTCTAAATTTCACCTCCGGCCAAACTTATGCTTTTTGGTTCTTTTATGTCATGAAATACTATACCATGATTTTATGTTTTTACCATAGTCGAATATATTTCAGATTTTCTCATAATTAATAAATTTATATATAAATTCATAAATTAAATCCCTTCCAATTTCTTCCAACTCCTCCGTAGCTCCGCCGTCAACACCAACCTAACACCACCGCGAGATTCATCAGATTCACAGTCGGAACCCTATCGCGTAAAACGATTTTTTCCCTTTTTTTTTGTTCAATTAAAGTTCAAAACCAAACCTTTTTATTTTTAATTCCAAACACATCCTAAGATATATAAGTTCAGTGATAAAAACGCAATTAATTTTTTTCAGTTCAGAAATTTCCTTTCAAAGTTGAATTCACTGTCTTTTCCCAACCCTAAACCCTTTTCGTTTTCGGATTCATTGCATTGTTCCGTCTCAATCTCTATATTAATGCTTCTTTTCGAATGGAAATTGGTTACTTTGTGGTTAAACCTATTATTGTAGCTTCGAAATTATCTTCAGCTCAAACAATTTCTGAGGTATATCTTTAGTGCCTTTTTTCTGTTATCAAATTTTGAAATTTCGACTGTTTCAGTTAGTTTTAACCATTGTTGTCCAATCTGCTTGGAAATTTGTTTGCTTTATTTTTGTTATAGAGATCCTTGTATGTACTTCAGTTTAGTTTCATTTGGAACTAATCTAGCTTTTGTTTTATGGAATTGAAATTGAAATTTGATTTTAATTGCAAAATCTGAAATAGTTTTGAAAATTGTGCTATATGATATGATGATGATGATGAATATGTTTTAGATGTACTTGGAAAAGAGTTGTATTGGGCATGTTTTTAAGGGGTTGCTTTTGCCTTTTGAACTTATAGTGATTGAGTACTTCTTTGTTGTTTTGTGCTTTAATTTTAGTTTGTTGGTTTGTTGTAGGGTGTTTTTCGAACATGGATTCGAAGAAGTGCAAGCCTTCTAAGGGTGTTGCATCTTTGATGAATGTTGTTCCACTGAGTGTTCCAAAGCAGGAGGATGAGATGGCCCGATCCCTCAAGGATAACATAGCTGTTAAGAGTAATGTGGATATAGACCTCAGGGAAGTTTACTTTTTAATTTTGAATTTTTTGTCTGCTGGGCCATGTCAGAGGTCTTTTGTTCAGCTCAGGAATGAGCTTTTAGAGCACCGACTTCTACCTAGAAGGTATCATGCTTGGTTTTCAAGAAGTGGTGAGCCCGGAGAAGATGATGCTGACGATGATGATGGCATCTCTTTACCTTTAGATTACAATAGTTTAATGGACAGGTATTTTTTGTTGCCATTTTATTGCTGTAAATAAGGTTAGAGTTTTAGGTGCAGCCATTCAAAAAATGTTTATTTTATTTTTTGTTGCTGAGGGCACAGTATTGAAACTTAAGCAATTTATTGTTCAATTTCATTTGTTCATTATGGTTTTAAAAATGATGGCCATTTCGTATGCCTTTGAACTATTCTTGTTAAATGCAACCAGAAGTATATACTGAATCAGCATGAGAACTTCTTTTTCCTTTCCATTTGGTTCATTATGTAGGCTGTTTAATAGAGTTCCATTGTCCAATATTTTAACAATGGAAACTTCTTTTATTTATTTACTTGGAGTTTAGCACTGGAAATGTTTTTAGTTTTTTCAATTAAGAAAAGGGAAAAGAAACTTATGACGGATGGGTATGATTGCTCCTGCCTATTGGTAGAGGTATCTCCATTTGTAGATAATACATGGAAATGGGGGATATTTCGCCTTTTAATCCAGATATCTGTTATTTGGTTTGAAAATCTTCTCTCTTGAGCTAGGGATGGCTGCTCCTTGATATTACATGCATGGGGGACTAATATTGGTCATTTCGTGTAACTTTAAGGTATCCTCACATAGCTAAGGACCACATGGTAAAGCTTCTGAAGCAATTAATGCCGAGTACAACCCATCCTTTGAATGGAAAGCATGGAGGAAGTGGTCCTAATGCAGCGGATGTTCCCACTTTACTCGGAGATGGTTCATTTTCGCTTCTTGATAGTATGTGATATGCTACAGTAGTCTTCTTTCTTTTGATCATTCAAGTTAAGATCTATATAGTTTTTAACTTAAATACACTGAAAACAACATCTTAATAATATCTTGCAATCTTTGACTAGTATACAAATGCTGTCAATTTGTGATTTATTCATATTTCATATCTATCAAAGATTTTCTTTTTTTGTCTTGTAGAAATCCGGAAAGGGATGTATTAATGTGTTAGGGCTAGCTGCATATTGCTAGTTCTGAAATGGGTATATAATCCTTGTTTCAGTGTCTGCTTTCGTAATAATTGAAAATTGAATACATGAACACCCCAAAATTAACTTTGCTTCCTTAGAATACACTTTTTGCTGCTGAGTATCTTTTTGTCCACTTCGTCATGAATGGTACTGGGGTGTATATACGATATTATCATTATGCAGACATGAACATTTATAAAAGGGAAAAAAAAGCCAAAATTCGATTGTTCATATACTAATTGATGATTGACTTGATCTTGTGATATCTTCACCGTCTTTCCTTTTTAGAAGTGCTGTACTGAATACTGATCTACCGCCATTATTGACATTTATATTGATATGTCTTGTAATTGCTATACTTGGCTTATGTTATGCCTAGCATTCACTAAAAACATATGCGTGGAAGAGTGAGATGTTCATATTTTTTTATTTTAATCCTTGTGTTTTTACAGTTGATAGAAAAGCGACTGGTAAGCAAGTGAAGCGACCTCCAGTTTACATGCGGTGGCCACACTTGAAGGCTAATCAGGTTCAGGGGCTAAGTTTAAGAGAAATTGGAGGTGGTTTTACAAAGCACCATCGTGCTCCATCTGTTCAGAGTGCCTGTTATGCTATTGCCAAACCATCTACCATGGTGCAGAAGATGCAAAATATTAAAAAGCTAAGGGGCCACCGTGTGGCTGTCTATTGTGGTATGACATACTCCTCTTGCTAAATTTGCTATTAATATGGTCGCTTTATGGGTATACTTTTTATTAGAGATAGACTAGTCAAGGTGGTATAACTGACAGCTGTCATTCTTTGTATAGCTTGTAACCTGCTATTGCAGGTTCCCTGATTGTAACTATAAATGCAATTAGTTGTATGTTGAGTTAAAATCAATGAAAAGAATCAAAAGTTAGTTAGTTAGTTACAAACTGAATCAATGAAGAATGTGAGCATAGCTTTCTAACATGGTATCAGATTGCTAATCCGATATCCGGTCATGGCGTCTTCATCTGCGCTGTCGCCGCCGTCTTCCGCTCCTACATCCACCATGTTGGTACCTGCAGCTTCAGTTCCTGACCTAGCCTCTCTCAACCTTACTCACACTGTTCATTCTCATCTACCTCAGGACGAGACTCCAGCTGCTAGTTTAGATTCCTCTCCTTCCCTTACGCCAACACCTCACATTGACAATGATTATCAAGCATTTCGTGGTAGCTATGGCAGAAGACGAGGTCGTTCTGGCAGAGGAGGCAGAGGAAGAGGAGGTAGATTCTCTAATGCTACACTGCAATGTCAAGTCTGCTCTAAATTTGGTTACTATGTCTTACAATGCTGGCATCATTTCTAACAAAACTTCCAGCCTTCTTTATTCATTGGCAATAACTCATTTGGTGCACCTCAGCAACCTTGGCATAATTACTCCTATGGAAATAATGTTTGGAACAGACAACCTTCTCCCTCGAGGGCTGCACCCATGGTAGTCAAAATCGCGATCCTACTCATAGGATCGTACGATTTTGCGATCTTGCAACCACCCACCGTGCCGAAGAATGACCATAATCGCTTTTCGGTAGACGTAGCCGGAATCGCCAATATAACACGTGAAAACGGTGGAATCGTCGTTTTTGGGAAGAAGCACCGTTTCTGTTCAAAGCCCCAGGAATTCGGGTTTGCGGGTCGGGTTCGCAAATCGGGTAAAAAACCATAAAAAATGTTTTTTCTTATTGAAATTTGAAAAATTTCTTTTCTCTTTCTCATTAAAACCGTTTCTGCATGATAAAAAGGAGTAATCAATATCCACCCACCCAATGATTTATACAACTTCCAAATATACATCCATGATTAGTGTAACTTTCCAAAAAAATACAGCTATTCATTCCACTTTCTCATGTTAAACATCTCTCATGTTAAATACAACAATTATCTCATATTCATAATATTCCATTCTCTATCTTCCCTCTTACATAAAAACAACATTTCATTCTTTATTTTTTCTCTGACGTTAAATTTCAGTTTTTGAAAGTAATTTTAGTGATATTTGAAGTTTTTTTTCCTACTAAATTATGCTGCTTCATATGCATATTATGAATATATATGCAACATATATGAATTTCTAAATTTGGTAGGATCTTACGATCCGTGTTACGATCTCGCGATTCCCGATCTTGTTACTCCTATCCGATCTTGCATAGGATAATGAGTCTGACTACCTTGGCTCCGATCCGATCTTGTTACTCCTATCCTCTAAGCACCTTCATTGTCAATACTCCACCTTCTCCTTCCACTTCCTGGTTTCCTGACTTGGTTTCCTGACTCAGGAGCTTCCTTTCATGTGACTAGTGAAGCCAAAAACATTTAGCAAGCCATACCTTATGATACCTTATGAAGGTCCTGATCAAATTTACATTGGCAATAGCCAAGGTTTGCATATCTCTCTTACTGGTTCTAGTTCCTTTCAATCTCCTATTCACCCCCACACACAACTTACACTCAACAATCTTCTACTTCTGCCTTCAATAACTAAAAACTTAATCACCGTCGGTCAGTTTTCTAAGGATATTCGTGTCTATTTTTTGTTTTCTACTGATAACTAAAAACTTAATCACCGTCGGTCAGTTTTCTAAGGATATTCGTGTCTAGTTTTTGTTATCTACCGATAAGCGTCTTGTTAAATCACAGGAAATTGATGTCTCTCTTCTTGAAGGGCATGTTGGAACTGTTAATTCTACTTGTATAAGATCTAAACTGCCTAATGTGTGGCATCTTAGACTAGGCTATTCTAGTTTGAATTCCCTAAGACTTGTTCTTCAAGCTTGTAACATTCCTTTTGGGTGAATATGTTGTGTCTCCCTATCTTGTTTGGGTGAGCCTTTGACCTTTAGGTGAGTGCTTAACCCAATGTGAATGCTTCCCCCTTATGATGGCCCATCTATTTCACTTTCCATAAAGGCTATAAATGTCTTTCTTCAAGTGGCAGACTGTACATCTCTAAAGATGTATTATTCGATGAAACTAGGTTTCCCTATCTTGATGTGTTCACCAAACCAAAACCTAGTTCTTCATCTTCTCATGGTGTCACTTTATCCTCTCCCCCTCTCATGCCTTCACCTATTTCTATGCCTCAACATTCACAGTCTCTTGCTACTTCTTCTGCCACTGAGCAACCTGTTATTAACACTTCCCCTTCAAGGTTTGAGGCATCTTCTAGTTCCTCATCCGAAGCTCCCTTTATTGAGTCTCAGTCCCTTTCCTCTAACAATTCTCAGCCTGACCACTCTTGATTCTTTACCTACTGGTGCCATTCTCCTTACTCATGTACCTGTCAATTCTTATCATATGGAAACCAGGGCTAAATCAAGTTTCATTCAACCCAGACTTGAGCCTAGATTGCTTCTTGCCAACTCTAAGCCCAAAAATGTCAAAAAAGCTCCAAGTGACTTGCAATGGAAGTCTGCTATGTAGGTAGAGTTTGACGCTCTAATCAGTAACAAAACATGGTCTTTTGTTCCTCTCCCACCTCATAGACATGCTATAGGATGCAAATGGGTTTTTAGGGTGAAGGAAAATCTTGATGGGATTGTAAACAGGTACAAGACTCGGCTTGTTGCAAAAGGTTTCCATCAAAGACAAGGGTTTGATTTTTAGGAAACCTTTTCACTTGTTGTCAAACCAATTACTACAAGGGTTATTCTCACTATTGCTATCACCCATCATTGGACCATTCATTAGATTGATATCAATAATGCTTTTCTCAATAGATTACTTGATGAGGAAGTATACATGGAACAACCTCAAGGGTTTGTCAGTTCTGATCCATCACTGGTGTGTAAACTTCGCAAGCCACTTTATGGCCTCAAGCAAGCTCCAAGACATTGGTTTGAAAGGTTGCATGCTGCATTGATTCAGGTACAGTTTAAGGCCTGTAAGTGTGATTCTTCTCTATTCACTTACTCCTTTAATGGTCATACTATTTACTTTCTTGTGTATGTAGATGACATAATCATCACTAGCAGCTCCAAAGCCTTGGTTTAGGACATCATCACCCAGCTGAACCTTCCCTTTTCTCTCAAGCACTTGGGAGATCTTGATTATTTCTTGGGCGTTGAGGTAAACCAGGGTCAAAATGGTGCTTTGTTACTGATAGAAAGGTGAATCAAGTGGTGGGCCTTGACAGTGGGCCCAAGCCAAAGGTTTGGAGGGTTTACAGGAGAAAGAAAGGGAAAGGAATAAGGGATAATAACGTGGCTGCATGATTTGCATGAGAGGTACTATATTAGTGGGTGGAGTCAGAGAGAATAGGGGGGCTGCGAATTCTGTTATTGTGTGGGGTCACTTTCACAGTGATTTGGGAGCACTGTGTGCTACAGGGGCTGACAGTGACTGTCACTATCAGTTTGTTATTTTGTTATTCTGTCATTATTCATTCTCTTACTTTTGTAATTGATTTGCCATAATTCCACTGCAGTTTTCTTCCATCTCTTTATTCTTTTCTCCACTGTTTGTTCATATTTTTCACACATCAACCCAACAATTGGTCCGACCTGCCGGATCAAAAAAATCACCGTACCGAAATTGTAGATGCCACGAAAGCCTAAGATGGGAGATCGTATGGACGCGTTGGAAACACAGATGGTTGACGTCAAAGCTACACTGCAAACTTTGGCTCAACAGATGCAACAACAAAGCTTGATTCTCTCCGATTTATGTAATTAGATCGGTCAGAAGAATACGAATCAGGAGAGTGGGGGTTCCATGGGTGAGTCTTCGCGTGAGGAATCACGTTTGTCAGGGAAGAAGGTGAAACTGCCACTATTCGAAGGAGACGATCCTGTTGCATGGATCACACGAGCTGAGATCTATTTTGATGTGCAGAATACGACCGATGAGATGCGAGTGAAGTTGGCACGTCTGAGTATGGAAGGGTCTACCATACACTGGTTTAACCTTTTGATGAAACAGAGGACGATCTGTTCTGGGAAAAGCTGAAAAAGGGACTGATTGCGCGCTATGGAGGAAAACGTCTAGAGAATCCTTTTGAGGAATTATCCACGTTGAAACAGAGTGGTAGTGTAGAAGAATTTGTGGAAGCTTTTGAGCTTTTGTCGTCACAAGTGGGACGACTTCCAGAGGAACAATATTTGGGTTATTTTATGAGTGGTTTGAAGCCACAAATTCGTCGTAGGGTTCAGACTCTCAATCCCCTGAATCGGATGCAGATGATGCGAATTGCAAAAGACGTAGATGAAGAGTTGAGAGAAGATGATGATGACGTAGGCAGATACGGTAGCAAAAAAGGAGGGCAGGATCGATTGGGCCGGGTCAGTTTTTCGAAGCAGGAGCGGGTCAAACCCGAAAGAGACAAATCGTTTCAGTTGGGCCAACCCGACTCAGAAAACAGGATCCAGTGGATCTAACACGCTCTCTACGACGTCGTTAGCTTCAACTGGGAAAAAGGGTGAAAATGACTCGCGATCTGAAAAATGGAAAGGGATTCGCAGCATTCACAACGACGAGATGGCTGAGAGAAGGGCGAAGGGTTTGTGCTTCAAGTGTGGAGGCAAGTATCACCCTACTCTCCATAAGTGTCCGGAGAGATCCTTACGAGTGTTGATTTTGGGTGAAGGAGAAACTCTTAACGATGAAGGTGAAATCGTATCTATGGAGGAAGTGCAATCTGATGAGTAAGAGGAGGAGGAGGTAGAATGTAAATCCATGGGTGTGTTTGGGAAGTATGTGTGGAAATCGTACCATGAAAATTGAGGGAAAAATTGGAAATGTGGATGTGTTAGTGTTGATTGATAGTGGCGCGAGCCACAATTTCATCTCCCCTCAAGTAACAAATGCGTTGGGGTTAGAAATCACTCCTGAACCTGCCAGGAGCATCAAACTTGGAGATGGACATAAGGTGAATTCTCAAGGGGTGTGCAAAGGAATTGTAATGAAGATGGGGTCTGTGAAGGTAGTCATTGATGCGTTGGTACTGGATCTGGGAGAATTGGATATGGTGTTGGGAGTCTCGTGGCTGAGCACACTGGGAAAGGTAGTAATGGATTGGAAGGTGTTGTCTATGCAGTTCATGTATGAGGGGCATATGGTAAAGGTGTTGGGTCAAGGTAGCAGGCAAGAGGAGCATAATTATCTGAATTCATTTTTGGAAGACAAGCAAAATAGGATGGGAACTGAATGGTGGTGGTCTCAGCATCACCAATTGAAAGCTGGTGAGGTCTCTGTGCCAACAGAATTAATTGCAACTCTGGAACAATTTCCTGCAGTTTTTAAAGGTCAAATTCAGCTGCCTCCAAAGAGGTCTCAAGTGCACCATATCAAATTATTTCCAAATCATGGGACAATTAATGTTAGGCCCTACCGGTATCCTCAACATCAGAAGGAGGAGATTGAGAAACAAGTGACTGAACTGTTGCAGGCAGGAGTGATCAGACCCAGTATGAATGAGTGCTTTCTCTAGTCCGGTGATTTTGGTAAAAAACAAAGATAAAAGTTGGAGAATGTGTGTGGATTATAGAGCCCTCAACAAAGCTACAGTTCCGGATAAGTACCCTATTCCCATTGTAGACGAATTATTGGATGAATTATATGGCTCGACTGTTTTTTCGAAGATTGACCTTAAGTCCGGATATCATCAAATCAGGGTGCATGAAAATGATATTCCCAAAACAGCTTTTAGAACTCACAATGGCCACTATGAGTATTTAGTGATGTCATTTGGGTTAACGAATGCTCCAACAACTTTCCAAGCAACTATGAACGATATTTTTAGGCCTTTTTTTAAGGAAATTTGTCTTAGTTTTTTTTGACGATATCCTCATATACAGTAAGAACATTCAAGAGCATCAGAAGCACTTAAGTCAGGTTCTTGCTGTTTTACTTGAGAACTGTTTTATTGCAAATCAAGCTAAGTGTAAGTTTGGGTATAAGCAGATTGATTACTTGGGGCACATCATCTCAGGTGAAGGGGTAGCAGTAGATCCTGCGAAAGTAAGGTGCATTTTGGATTGGCCAGAACCAAAGAACGTAAAAGGAGTTCGTGGGTTTTTGGGACTTACGTGGTACTATAGAAAATTTATTAAGGACTATGGCAAGGTGCCTTTGACTGAGCTGACCAAGAAGGACAACTTTGCGTGGGGAACAGAGGCAAATGCAGCTTTTCACTTGATGAAGATTATCATGACTTCACCCCCTGTATTGGTATTATCTAATTTTTCTCTACCCTTTGAAGTGGAATGTGACGCAGCTGGTAGAGGTATCGGAGCAGTGTTAATGCAGCAGAGAAAACCTGTAGCGTTTTTCAGCAAAGCATTATCTCAGGGCAATTTAGCAAAGTCTGTGTATGAAAAAGAGCTTATGGCTTTGGTATTGTGCATTCAGCATTGGCGACACTATTTGTTGGGGAAGCAGTTCACGGTATACACTGATCACAAGAGTCTAAAACACTTCCTGCAGCAAAGAATAACTTCCCCAAACCAGCAATGTTGGTTGGCTAAGTTGCTTGGCTATCAGTTTGAGGTGAAGTACAAACCAGGGATGGAGAACAAAGCTGCTGATGCTCTATCCAGGTGTTATGATGATGCTGAATTGGGTACTTTCATTTCGTACCCTCAATGGACCAATAGCAAGAAACTTTTAGATGAGGTGAAAGATGATCCAGAAATTCAGAACATGATACAAACCGTGTTGTCTGTTCCTGATTCTAAGCCAGGCTATTCTGTTATACAAGGTATGTTGTTTTATCATGACATGCTGGTTCTTTCTCCTAAGTCCCCATCTATCCCTCTTCTGTTGGAGGAATTTCATTGCACTCCTACTGGTGGACATTCAGGGTTCTTAAGAACTTATCGGAAGCTGGCGGATAATTTATATTGGCTTGGAATGCAGAAGTCGGTGAGAGAATTTGTGCGTGCTTGTGATGTCTGTCAAAGACAAAAATATGCGGCCACGACTCCCGGAGGTTTGCTGCAACCTCTTCCCATTCCTAATGGTATTTAGGAGGATCTTTCTCTAGATTTCATTACGGGTTTGCCTAAGTCTAAGGGTTATGAGGCTGTACTTGTGGTTGTGGACAGGTTGTCCAAGTACAATCACTTCATATTGCTCAAGCACCCTTACACAACGAAGTCCATTGCTGAATTGTTTGTAAAAGAAATAGTGAGGCTTCATGGAATTCCAAATCCCCTCATCAGTGACAGAGATCCCTTATTTGTGAGCCATTTCTGGCTGGAATTATTTAAATTGCAGATGAGTTCTGCCTATCATCCAGAAACGGACGGGCAAAAGGAAGTGATAAATAGATGTCTGGAAAGCTATTTGAGATGCTTTGCTTCTGATCAGCCCAAAAATTGGTCAAATTGGCTCTCTTGGGCCGAGTTTTGGTACAATACCACCTATCATGTGTCGATTGGGAAAACTCCTTTTGAAGTGGTTTATGGAAGGCATCCTCCTAGTATTCTGCGGTTTTTATCAAATGAGACTGAGGTGGCTGCGGTGGCATTAGAGCTAAGTGAGAGAGATGAGGCTCTAAAACAACTTAAATCACATCTACAAAGAGCGCAAGAACAAATGGCGAGCTATGCTAACAAGAAGAGAAGAGATGTGCGTTTTCAGGTTGGTGAATGGGTTTTTTTGAAATTACGACCTCACAAACAGCATTCAGTGGTTAAACGGATCAATCAAAAATTAGCGGCACGTTTTTATGGGCCTTTCAAAGTTGTAGCTAAGATTGGAGAAGTGGCATATAGGCTGCAACTGCCTGATTAGTCCAGGATCCATCCTGTTTTTCATGTGTTGTTATTGAAGAAAGCAGTTGGAGACTATCAGGTGCTAGGGGAACTTCCCAAAGATTTGGAACTCACAGATGAGAGTGATGTGTATCCAGAGAAGGTCATGGGCTCTAGGGTGACTGTGAAGGGAGGAGTGACTGTGCAGCAAAGTCTCATTAAATGGAAGCACAAGACATGGGAGGATAATGCAGTGTTGCAGGGTCAATTTCCAGATTTTTGCCTTGAGGACAAGGCTGTTTCTATGGAGGCGGGAGTTGATAGAAAGGTGAATCAAGTGGTGGGCCTTGACAGTGGGCCCAAGCCAAAGGTTTGGAGGGTTTACAGGAGAAAGAAAGAGAAAGGAATAAGAGATAATGACGTCGCTGCATGATTTGCATGAGAGGTACTATATTAGTGGGTGGAGTCAGAGAGAATAGGGGGGTTGAGAATTCTGTTATTGTGTGGGGTCACTTTCACAGTGATTTGGGAGCACTGTGTGCTACAGGGGCTGACAGTGACTGTCACTATCAGTTTGTTATTTTGTTATTTTGTCATTATTCATTCTCTTACTTTTGTAATTGATTTGCCATTAATTCCACTGCAGTTTTCTTCCATCTCTTTATTATTTTCTCCACTGTTTGTTCATATTTTTTACACATCAACCCATCGGTTACTCACTCAGACCAAATATATCAGAGACCTACTCCACAAGACCAACATGCATGAGTCCAGTCCAGTGACCACCCCTATGCAATCCGCCTGCAAACTCACTAAAACTGGCTCTGCAGCTATATCTGATTCCTTTCCCTATAGGTCAGCTGTGGGTGCTTTGCAATATGCAACCATAACCAGGTCTGACATTGGCCATGCAGTCAATAAAGTCTGCCAGTACATGGCCTTACCCCTTGAAGCACGCTGGGTAGCAGTTAAAAGGATACTCAGATACCTCAATGGCACTCTTGGATAAACTAGTCAAGGTGTTATAACTGACAACTGTCAGTCTTGGTATAGCCTGTAACCTGCTATTGCAGGTTACCTGATTGTAACTATAAATGCAATCAGATGTATGTTGAATTAAAGTCAATGAAAAGAATCAAAAGTTAGTTAGTTAGTTACAAACTGAATCAATGAAGAATGCGAGCATAGCTTTCTAACACTTTTATACGAGTTCATCTTCAGTTATTCTCGTTAATGCCATTAAATAGATGTAAAAGCCACATGAAATCAACATATATTAGTTGATTCCAATACTTTTTGCATAATGTGTTTCTTTCTTTTTTTGTAGTTTTATTCTGAAGTTAAATACTGATTTTATCATACTTCCTCTAAAGCGCATATAATGATATAACTAATGTTTTCAATAGCCAAACTAAGATTGATGAAATTTGAAAAATGGTGCTATCTCGCAGCCATACTTGATGGATCAGGGCGATATGTTATCAGTGGCTCTGATGACCGTCTTGTCAAGATTTGGTCTATGGAAACTGCATTTTGTTTGGCTAGTTGTCGTGGACATGATGTGAGTCAAGAGTTATGGAACTAATTTTGATAAATTTGTTTCTTTCAATATCATCTGACGTTCTCTTGTCATTACATAAAACAAAGGGTGACATTACTGACTTGGCAGTAAGCTCAAACAATGCTTTGGTGGCATCTGCTTCAAATGATTATTCTATTCGAGTTGTAAGTAGTATTTCTTAATCTGTATGTTCAATCCTGTAAACATTCGGGAACTATGTTGATAATTGCTTCATAACAGTGGCGCTTACCTGACGGGATGCCCATATCAGTTTTGCGTGGGCATGGTGGAGCTGTGAATACCATTGCGTTTAGTCCCAGGCCGACTGCTGTATACCAGCTGCTATCGTAAGTTCGTTTTAAGAGTTTCCGTTCCCCATCATTGATATTCTATGATTTTTTAGCTCAAATGTCTTGTCGTTAATCTATTTTGTACACGGATAATCAAATCCTAAATTTATTGCAGGTGTCAGGTGTGACACAATGGTTCTTATTTTCATATATTTTAAATGTGTATATCATATTGATTTTTTTATGTATAAAATTATCTTATAAAATATTACTCTAATTTTAAAATCGATCCTTTGTGTAATTTTCATTCTAGTGCTCATAGTTTGCAGTAATACGGGTTCTTATTCTGTTACTTGACTTGTATGACTTATGTGATATATAGGTCATCGGATGATGGAACATGTAGAATATGGGATGCAAGAAATTCACAAAATCCATGCATATACGTACCGCGGCCTTCAGATGCTATAATTGGTCAGATTATAGATTCTAATTTTGTGAATAGATTTGGACTGGATCTGGAATTGGTTTGAGTTTGGCATTGTTACCATACTAAATTTGTGTTAGTTTACACTATGTTATGTTTTTAGTTGAACTAATATTTATAATTTATAATAAAATCTAAATACAGTATAAAAGATCATTTTACTTTGAATGGGTGCTTATAATTAGGGACTGAGGGAGTACTTTAAATGAATATTACATTTTAGAGCTATGAATGGAGTTATCATGTCTGGTTCAAACCAAAATTATTGAAGCGTGGACATGCAAGTTTCTTAAGCCTTATAGATCATCAATAGTTTTACCTGTTCACTGCCATCTTTTTGTGATATTAGGTTAATTCGATTCGTTATAGGATTGCTTGAGGAATTATAAATTTTTGTAGGGAAGGGAAATACTCCATCAGCTAATCTACCGTCCTCAAGTAATGCTCAACCAGAACTTCAAATACTTTGTTGTGCATATAATGCAAATGGAACTGTTTTTGTTACTGGTAGCTCTGATACTTTTGCCAGGGTATGCTTACCGAAGCACTCTTCAGATATTTCCTATTCTTTGATTAATACAATTAGCCGTTTCTTGTTTAAGTATTGCATCTATTCAGATTCGTGAAAAATACTACTATTTAACAGGTATGGAGTGCTCCTAAGCCCAACACTGATAACTCAGAGCTACCAATACATGAGATGGATTTATTATCTGGTCATGAGAATGATGTTAATTATGTACAGTTCAGGTTAGCTGCTGTGGTTATATCCTTTCTCATTATGTTTTATTTTGTAATGATTCTCATTTTCTTCGCATTGGTACCTCTATCTACAGTGGTTGCGCCGTGTCTTCGAAAATTTGGACATCTGACTCTTGGAAAGAAGAAAATACACCGAAGTTTAGAAATTTCTGGTCAATATCTATCTTAATGATTATTTCCTTCAGTTATTATTATTTATACTGAACTTCTTAGGTGTTGATTTAATATAACTGCTGTGCCCTGTTCTCATTCCTAATCACTTTCCATGCCGTATTGTGTTAATTTTTTATAATAAAAATTTGGGAATGGGAATGGGATTTGTACTGCGTCCCTTGAGTTTACAAGGTCAAACTTTCACCACTGAACTAACATATTTTCAGGTATTCTCATGATAACATAGTTACCTGCTCTCGTGATGGAAGTGCAATTATATGGGTTCCCAGATCACGTAGATCTCATGTGAGTGCCTTTATATATTATTTACCGTTGAACTATAGTCTATTCCATTCTTGAAGACATTTTTCTCCATTATATCTTTTAAGAATTTGAGTTGGGCCTAACTCATCCCTACAAAACCGGCTTGTAAGGTGAGGATTACCCCCACGTATAAACACAACACAGACCAAATCTCTAAGCAATGTGGGACTAATCCACCCCTTCAAAGCTAACACGATGAAGGTGTTAGGGGCTGCAATGAGGCAAGCCAAAGAGCCGCAATTAAGGCGACTAGGGGCGGACTGCAATTAAGGCGGAAAGTCCAACATATTTTTCCAAAAATATTTGGCCATCTTTGTGACACGCAGTTTAACCTTTCCCCCCTGCCTACAGTGCAAACTATGTTTTAAGTTTTCCGTTGCCATTTCAGGGAAAAGTTGGACGTTGGATTCGTGCGTATCATCTAAAAGTGCCAACACCACCCCTGCCTCCTCAACCTCCACGAGGAGGTCCAAGACAGAGAGTGCTACCTACTCCCCGCGGCGTTAATATGATTGTATGGAGTCTAGACAACCGTTTTGTATTGGCAGCTATTATGGGTATTGTACTTGCTCAAATTAATTGCTATAACGGGGCATTGTGTTGTGTTGTTGTTTGATCCAAATAGTCAATCCCATCGGTGGGAAAAGGCTTGTTGTGTTGGTATGAATTTGCATGAGTATATTACTGTATTTTTTGGTATTACTTGGATTGTCTAATCGATGACACCTTATATCCTAAGTCGAAGTTAAACTTCTGCCGTGATAATTACCCTATGATTTGGATTTGTTTCACATTCTTTGAGAACATCTACCCATTTGGGTTATACAGATTTGTCCTTGATATGTCATTTACTATCTCTTCCATTTCTAGAAAAACATAATATATAATTAATTAGTTATTCATGGATCAAGCTTGTTTTGGTTCATCGTATGAAAGTCGATTTTCCCATTGACTAAAGCTGTCATATAGTAGCTGCCACATAATATATATTATGCTAAATTTGTAGTACTGATTACCGCTGACACTTATAAGTTATATGACAACACATTATATTGCTTCACAAGTCCTTGTTTTAGTATGCGGTTGACATTTTACATTTTGTAACTTATCAAAATTATGTTATTATAATTATAATTGTTATGATAATACGTATTTTAATTTTTTTTGTTTGGTTTTGCTTTCATATGCAACATAGCAGTACCTTTCCATATTTTCTATAGATAATTTAAGTTATTTCATTGTGGAGAAAGGCTTTTGCTTGCATTAGCTGAGGATTTGTCTTTTCATCTCAAAGATTGCAGAATATGTGTTTGGAATGCAGTTGATGGCAGCTTAGTGCACTCTTTGACTGGTCATACTGAATCTGTAAGCCCTGTTCTCTCTTAATTTCTCCTTTCTTTTTGTTCTTCCTAGACGTTGCAAAATGGGCTACACGACTCGCTTCAGGCCAACCTGACCGGGGCCTTGGGTTTTATTAAACGGGGACGGGGCTAATAACCCAGATTAAATACGGATTCACAATATAGTGCCCAAGTTCGATCTTGTGTGGGTTGTGGGCTTTTCGGGACAGCCCGGCATATATTTTTTATTAAAGAAAAGGAAAGATTTAAGGTGCATTTCCTGGTAAAAATTAGGGTAATATTATTTTCTGGTACTAAAAATCACAATTGCTTTTGATATTTCTAGAATTTTTTAAAGTTTATTTAGTTAAAGAATAAAAAATAAAAAATAGAGATAAATGTGAAGTTATTGTTAGTTTTTTTTATTTTCATTGGAATAATAGCTTCCCACCCTCTATTATGGTAGTGTAAAATAAAGTAATTATGCAGAAATTTTCTTCCCAAGAATAAATAATATCTGGTGATATTTTTTGTAAACTCCTATCAAACATGGGAACGTATATTCCCAATTCTACTTTCCTTGTAGAAATCTTAGACAAACACACCCTATACCATGTGCTGCTAATTTACTCCATCAGTACACATACTCAACTTATATTTTTCCTGGACCAACATAAAATAGAAATGTACTCATGCTTTTCTGATTAGATTGCTTTTAGCCTCTTCTCATTTTTCTGATTGCATTACTTTCTAGCCTCTTCTCATTTTTCTGTCGTAATTTGAATACTCACTGTACTATTGTGATGCGTCTGAATGCTGAGTTTTCATTGATTGGCAGTCTTATGTTTTGGATGTTCATCCTTTCAATCCCCGGATAGCTATGAGTGCTGGGTATGATGGTCGAACCATTGTGTGGGATGTAAGCTTCTTTTCTTATAGGTCCTTAAATTCTAAATACTTCGTAAAACATAAATTAATATATGCGTTTTGGTATATTCTTTTTCTAGTTATATGCTAACATGTTCTTATAACTACTACTATTATTATTTTAGTGTTTTAAAAAGGGTATTTTTATGTTCTTTGTAAAACATAATTTAACTTATGCTTTTTGGTATGTTCTTTTTCTAGATATGGGAGGGCATACCTATTCGAACATACGAAATTGGACGCTTTAGGCTGGTCGATGGGAAGTTTTCTCCGTAAGTGGTTATATGATAATTTCTATTAATGGAAAGTTTCAGTTGCTTAGTATTATAGTAGTATAAAATACATTTAATAGACTCCGTGTTTATCTTATCTTTATGCACTGAAATTTTGATTTGTTATATACTTCAATTATAATTTATGAATGTCTTGTGTATTTTCCTTTCACTTATTGTGGAACTTGTCTTTGGCAGAGATTATATAACTCTAAACTGGTTGCTTGTAATTGCTTTGATTGATATCCATGTCAAGAAAATATGCTTAAGTTGTTGGTCATATACATATTTTTTTCCTTTTCAATGTAAGGCACTCCTTCATGTAAGAAGCTTTCGTGCTCCGTGCATGCAATTCATGGGCTCACTTTGAGCTGTATTGTAATATTAGTATTATTATTATTATTAGAATATGTTGAATATCATACAGTTCATTATGAGCTGCTATCCTATACAATTTATTATGAATAATTAGCATTTATAAGAAGAATAATTACACCCTTATTTAGATAGATGTATAGTCTATAAATACCTCTTATGTATTCTTTACAAGATATATAAAACATTTCCATATTTCTACATGGTATCAGAGCCTATTGATCGGACCTTGGGCAACCCACTGTTTAAATCCACGCACCAAGCCCAAAAAAGAGTGCTGGGCGTGAGGGGGTGTATTAGGAAGATCCTAAAGTCCCACATTGGTTGGAGATAGAGCATTGAAATAGTTTATATAGAGTGACACCCCTCACCTTACCAACCGGTTCTAGGGGCTCTGCTTCCGTGCTCAAAACACTAGCCGTTCTTATTACGGTCCTTCTTTTTTTGTCAAGGTTCCCTTTCTCTTGGAACCCTAGTGATCTTGGTGACTTTGCAGCCATCGTGCACCGCTCAACCGCCGTTGCAGATCCGGACGCTTTCACCTTCACCTTTTTTTCAGGACAACCTTCATTGCTGTACATCTATTTACTTGCTGTTTGCAGCCCTTGATTGTTCGGTTGTCATCGTTGTTGGTGTTTCTAATTGGCAGCCCTTCGATCCTCTCCTGACAGTAGATCTCGATCCTCTCCTAGTTCGAGACGGTTTGTTTCTCTCTATGGACTCCTTGAGTAAGTTCTCTAACACTAGTTCTCTGACCATGATGGGTAAGAACTCTAGCTCCTTAGCTTTTAATGCCTCTTGTTCTAAAGATATCTGGATTATTGACTCTGGTGCAACTGATCACATGACTCCATATATGTCATATCTCTCTTCTTATTCACCTTTACTTAATAAACGCCATATTACCGTTGCAAATGGGTCTCAAACCCCGATTGTCGGATCTGGTAACATCCACCTAAGCCCATCTCTCCACCTAAATGATGTGCTTCATGTTCCTAAGCTTTCTAACAATCTGTTGTCCATCCATAAACTCACTAAAGACTTGAACTGTGTAGTAACCTTTTTTCATTCTCATTGTGTTTTTCAGGACCTTGCCACAGGTAAGACGATTGGAATTGCTGAGGAACAGAACGGGTTATATTGTCTGCCTCATAAGGAAAGTAAGTGTCATCAGGGTGGTTCAGAGTCATGGGCAAATACTCAAATATGGCTCCAACACAGGCGTCTTGGACATCCTCCTTTCCAGATGCTCAGGTCTCTATTCCCTCACTTATTTACCAAAGTGTCCGTTGATTCCTTTCATTGTGATGTGTTTCAGTTTGCCAAATCTCATCGAGCAACCTAATTCCCTAGTAATACTAGGAGTGTCGAACCCTTTGATCTTGTTCATTCTGATGTATGGGGGCCTTCATCCATTTCCAATATTTCTGGGGCAAAATGGTATGTTACCTTTATTGATGACTGTACTCGGGTTACATGGGTTTTTCTTATGAAAGATAAGTCTGAAGTGTGTCAATTGTTTGTTAACTTTTTTCAAATGGCCAAAACACAGTTTGGGAAACCTATTAAACGGTTACGGTCAGACAATGGTAAGGAGTATGTAAACCAAAATTTTTGCAATTTTCTCTAAACTAATTGTGTTGTTCATGAGTTGACTTGTGTTGACACTCAACAACAAAATGGGGTTGCTGAAAGAAAAAATCGTCATCTTCTTGAAATCACCCGAGCATTACGCTTTCAAATGAATGTTCCTAAATTTTATTGGGGGGAAGCTGTCTTGACCTCTGCTTATTTAATCAATAGGTTACCTTCTAGGGTGTTATCTGGTGTTAGTCCTGTGCAGGTCCTGACTCGATTCTTTCCGTCCGTGCCCATCTTGTCAAGTCTTCAGAATCGTGTCTTTGGTTGTTCTGCCTTTGTCCATATTCATGGCCCTCATCGAGGTAAGTTAGATCCTCGGGCTATTAAATGTATTTTCATAGGATATGCTTCAGATAAAAAGGGGTACAGGTGTTATCATCCTCCTAGTCGTCGTGTCTATATATCCATGGATGTTACTTTTCAGGTATCAGAGTCTTTTTATCCCAGTCCTTAGCTTCAGGGGGAGAATAATCAAGAAGCTGAGTCTTTAGAGTTGTCTATTCTTCCTGTTATTCCTTTTATATAGGACCCGGAGCCGTCTCCTGAATTGTCTGTTATTCCTGTAATACAAGAGCCTTTGATGCCTAATGAGGATGGTGGTATGTACCAATACCGGTGCATAATAATGATGAGGATGGTGGCGATGTACCAATACCGGTGCATAATAATGATGAGGATGGTGGCGATGTACCAATACCGGTGCATAATAATGTTGACAGATACAAGTTACAGTTCCAGCGAAAAAGGTGGAAAGGTAAACCCGTTCTGCCCCAACAAGTCCAATCGTCTGACCCTGAGGTAAGTGTTCCTAACCCTGAGCCTAGTAATTCTTGTGAGCTGAACCTTGATGACCTACCTATTGCTTTGAGAAAAGAAAAAAAGGTCTTGTACTAAATACCCTATATCCCAGTTTTTGTCTACTGAAAAACTTTCTGTGCAGCATCAGAGTTTTATTTCAGCTATTGACTCTATTAGAGTCCCTACATCAGTACAAGAAGAATTAAAGGATAAGAACTGGATTCAAGCCATGAATGAAGAGATGCATGCACTAGAGAAAAATGGGACTTGGGAGATTATTGAGAAGACAAATGACAAGAGGCCAGTAGGTTGCAGATGGATATATACGTTAAAATACCGATCCGACGGCACAATGGACAGATATAAGGCGAGACTAGTTGCAAAGGGATACACTCAGACCTATGGAATTGATTATGAAGAGACATTTGCTCCAGTAGCAAAAATGAACACTGTAAGAATCATTCTTTCCTTGGCAGCTCACTTGGATTGGGAGTTGCAACAGTTTGATATGAAAAATGCTTTCTTGCATAGAGATTTGGAGGAAGAGGTGTATATGGAGATCCCACCTGGATATGGCCCTACTTTAGGAAGTAATAAGATTTGCAGATTAAAGAAGGCCATATATGGGCTCAAGCAATCACCTCGAGCTTGGTTTGGAAGACTCACTCATGTTATGGTGTCCTTGGGTTATAAACAAAGCCAAGGTGATCATACTCTCTTTATAAAGCATTCTCAAAATGGTAAACTCACTCTTTTGTTAGTCTACGTAGATGATATGATCATAACAGGTAATGATGAATTTGAGAAGATGAACTTGAGGAAGGAGTTGGCAGCTCAGTTTGAAATGAAGGATCTTGGAAAATTGAAATATTTCCTAGGTATGGAAGTAGCATACTCAAAACAAGGTATTTTCATTTCTCAGAGAAAATATGTCCTTGACCTTCTCAAAGAGACTGGCAAGTTGGATTGTAAACCCAACAGAGTGCCTATAGAGCAAAACCACAGGATTGGGAGTGATGAGGAAAATCCAAGGGTTGATAAAGCTCAATACCAGAGACTTGTGGGAAAACTCATTTATCTATCTCACACCACGCCTGACATAGCTTATTCGGTTAGTGTTGTCAGTCAATTCATGCATGATCCACAGAAGAGGCACTTACAGGCTGTGGATAGAATCCTGCAGTATCTAAAGATGAGCCCAGGAAGAGGTCTATTGTTCAAGAAAAGTGAGCAGTTGTCTATGGAGGTCTATACTGATGCAGATTATGCAGGGTCGATTGTTGACAGGAGATCCACCACTGGATATTGTATGTTCTTAGGTGGAAACTTAGTGACATGGAGGAGCAAGAGACAGAATGTAGTTGCCAGATCAAGTGCATAGGCAGAGTTTAAAGTCATGGCTCAAGGAGTTTGTGAATTGTTGTGGATGAAGATCATTCTAGATGACTTGAAAATAAAATATGAAGCTCCTATGAGACTTTTCTGTGATAATAAGTCTGCTATTAGTATTGCTCACAATCCGGTCCAACACGACAGAACAAAGCATATAGAGATAGACCGACACTTCATCAAAGAGAAATTGGATAGTGGTCTTATTTCTACACAGTACGTCCCATCAGGACTCCAGTTAGCTGATGTGCTCACCAAAGGACTCCCATTGGAGCGGTTTCGAGATCTTACTTGCAAGCTGGGGATGATAGATATCTATTTCTCAGCTTGAGGGAAAGTATTTTAATATTAGTATTATTATTATTAGAATATGTTGAATATCATACAACTTATTATGAGCTGCTATCCTATACAATTTATTATGAATAATTAGCATTTATAGGGAGAATAATTACACTCTTATTTAGATAGATGTATAGTCTATAAATACCTCTTATGTATTCTTTACAAGATATATAAAATATTTCCATATTTCTACAAGCTGTTTGGGCAAATGCCAACTAGACGCATATTTGTGGCAATTTAATGCTGCTCAATAGTAATGAGCATGATTGTTGTCACTCTCATATTTAAAGTCCTACTCCCTCTGGTCCTATTTATAAGAGAGTGTGACTTTTTAGATTCATTAAATTATCAATGTATCTGATGATATAGTCCAAATACATTGATTATTCAATGAACCTAAAAGGTAAATTTTCGCTTATAAATAGGACCGGAGGTAGTATTACACTAAAAGTAAGTAATAAGATTTTTTTTAATGGCAAATAATTTATAGAAGTAAGAGAAATGAAAACAAAATATACTTGTCACTTACTCCTGTCTCTTAGCGCTGTCTTTCGATATTTGTCTGTCTCAAACTACTTGTCATTTTAAAATATGAAGAAAGTATTAATTACTTTTTTTATTAGTTACCCATTTTTGTTTGTACTTCAACCATCCATACGTTAATTAGTCTTTCTAACTAGTAGCTCCGCCACTGGCTACCATTAATAAGGGCTTTCTTCTTAGAAACTAGTATATCAAATAATTTTTTTTGGAGATATAAAATGACACATAATTTAAGCCGAAAAGCGTAGTAAATATAGTAGCTGTGTAGATTCATACCAACAGTGAGCTACCTTTCTGCAGTCAAGGGCAAGTGAATATCTAATTTGGTCCTTGAAATTGTAGAATTATTTCAACCCATTCTCCCACATTATCAATATTCAAAATGATATCTGAAATTACAAAGTGTTAACATGTTCATCCCTCCGCTTGTATTTGCAGGGAGGGACTATAATTAAATTAAGTTAATAACGTCAAACCAATGTTTTGAAAACCAAACCGGAGATCGAATAGGTGAAACTTGCGGTTTAAGGTTTAATTGGTTCAACCGGTTAAACTTATGGTTGAACTGTATGTTAAATAAACTAATAATATGAAACTAAATTTCATAGATATGTCACACATAATAATATGTTCATAATTTAATAAAATAAATATTTTAGAAATTCATTATAAATTTAATACAACAATGTCGATAGTACATGTAATAACATAACATAATTCTACACTTCATTTCAACATTTATTTAAGAATAATTTGACCAAATTAATGAACTACAATAGAATAAGTTAAATTAATTCAAACCAAAATTAAAATAATAGAATATAATAACTAAAATAAAGTTCAAATAATTAGGAATACCTAAATTAAATAAGATAGAATATCAAAAATAAATGATACAATATACTTCATTAAACAAAAAAAAAAGAATTTGAGTTAAACTACATTAGTTGACAACAACAAGCAATATTGATTTCAACGACAATCAATATTGAGTTGGACATCGTGGCTATGTTTGAAAGAGACGGCGTGATGATGATGGAGTGTGGTTGAAAGAAAATTATATCAGAGTGACAAAACTTAGAAATTTGTATGGTTGTAAAAAAAACATGAAATTCTTTTTTGTGATTGAAGAATGTATGTTAAGTTTTAATATTGACATATTAAATTTAAAAAAAAAATGGTCAATTTGATGCATTTTATTGAACCGGGCGGTTTTACAAAACCGGCTCCGGTTCTTTGGTTCGAATGGTTTTGGACGGTTCAACCCAGTTTTTCCGATTTTACTCCGGTTTTGACTCACTAGCGGTTTTGAAAGATTGACTCAACCGGATTCATTTCCGGTTCCCGGTCCAATCGGTTGAACCGGCCGGTTCGGTCCGGTTTTTAAAACATTGCGTCAAACATTAATATGTAACTAAGTTAATAATGTCAGATATTGTTAAGTTTCAGAGAATTTGTAACTAAATTTTATTTGAAATATCCTGTTTTTCATTGATTTCATAGAGGAAAGATTACAGCATTATATAGGAATCTAATCCTGTGCATAGTGCCCAGGTTAGATGAAACAGAATCTAGAACATTGCTCTAACTAACTCTAATCCTGTGCCACAGTCACGTGTTAGATCTAAAAGAATCTAGAACCTTCCTATTACAAACTCTAATCCTGTGCATAGGTGGACGTATTTGGTTTAACAGAATTACAACTGTTAAAACTGCTGGCAGTGTAACTAACTAATCAGTTACTGATATACTCTAGCATTTTGCAATTCTAGAGATTATTTTGAAAATATTGATAAGGTGGGAGACTGGGTCAATGCAGTGCAATAATTTCAGAGAGAATTATAATATCAACACACTCTTTTATTTGTTGGTTCACACGGGCCCCACTAAATTTATGTGGGCCCTACGTGATTTAGTGGAGTCCATTTGAATTTTCAACCAGTAAAAGAGTGTGTTGCTAGCAGTTTTCTTTCAGAGATCATCCTGGATATTTACATGGTCGAGATCTTCTTTGACATGTATATTGATTGGTTGAAAAATAATCACAGTATGTTTGCTGCTTTGTGTGTTGATGAAGAAATAATGTAGGCTCTACGCTAACCTTGTTGATGATGAGTGTTCCATGTCATTGATATTTATGCCTTATAGTGTCCATGTTTGATGAATCATCAAGAGCTCTGAACACGTGTATTATACTGTTTAAATATATTTTTGTGTTCATTTTAGGGATGGAACATCAATCGTGCTTTCAGATGATGTTGGACAGATATATTTTCTGAGTACAGGTCAAGGCGAGTCTCAGAAGGATGCAAAATATGATCAGGTGGTCAAATATCACTATATTGCGAACGCACACACTAATAGAGAAAAAGAGAGACATATTTATGACAAGTTAATTAATGCTGTAGTCTCTTTGATTTTTATGGCAGTTTTTCCTTGGTGATTACCGTCCTCTAATTCAGGATACTCAGGGAAATATTCTTGATCAGGTTGAGAGTCATCATCTTGCTTTTTTTTTTTTTTTTTTTTTTTTACCATCATAGTTTAATCACTAAATCTAATATTTATTTATTGGCCTTTTCATACAATCTAATAAACATATGTCACACATGATGTAGGAAACTCAACTTCCACCACACCGAAGAAACATTCAGGAACCTCTATGTGATTCTAGTAAGTTGTGGATCTTATTCTGAAATTCTTGCTGCCTTATTTGGATTCAAATTTCTCTTATCATAAATTGTTTAATTACCAGGCATGATCCCATATCCAGAACCTTATCAGAGTCAATTCCAGCGACGACGTCTTGGTGCTCTTGGCATTGAATGGCGCCCTTCTTTGATAAAATATGCTATTGGTCCAGATTTTAGTGTTGGCCAGGATTACCAGGTGATACCTTTGGCTGATTTGGAAGGAGTGCTTGAACCACAACCAGAGTTTTTGGACGCCTTGTTATGGGAGCCTGAATATGACATCGTGAGTGATGATAATGACTCTGAATACAATGTGAACGAGGATAACTCTAGCGCAGCCGAGCAAGGGACTATTAGTGCCATCTCTTCTAGTGACTTAGAATACAGTGAAAGCGACTCTAATAATAGGGATGGTCTTAGAAGATCAAGAAGGAAAAGCCATAATATTGGAGTAAGTAGTGTCTTTAATTTTGATTGATCAATCTTTAATTATAACTTGTCATCTAATCATAGTGTTTCTCAGGTTGAGGGAATGACTTCTGGAAGGCGTGTTAGGAAAAGGAATTTGGAAGAATGTAACGGTAATACTTCTGGAAATAACAAAGTTAAGAAATCCAGAGGAAGCTTAAAATCAGCAAAAAAGAAATCTTCCAAAGCTAAGACATCGAGACCTCGGAGAACTGCTGCCCATAATGCTCGTAATATGTTCTCTCATATTGGCGAAACATCTACTGAAGGGGAAGATAATTATTCTGAAGATGAATCATCTGACAGTTTTCAAGATTCAGAAAATCTTAGTGAACCTGAGAGCAAAGTCCATATTAAGCGGGAAGAACTTAAAAAAGCCCCATCGGAAAAGTCTGCCAATGCATCCAAGCCACCTCCATATTCTGACTCTCAGACAAATCTTGAAAGTAGACCGAGGCTGGTTCTTAAGTTTTCACTTCCTAAGAAGAATGTGCCTTTAGAGGATGCAAAATTTGCACGTGAGAATCAGGCTGATATGGTATGTCAGTCTTCTATACCCCAACCCCTAGAAAGTGTTCAAAAAACTTTGCCAGACACACATGGTATGTCAGATACTACCAATGCAGGCAACAACAGAAATGAAAATGTTATAAATCATCTGGATACATCTATATGTCTCGAGGAGAGCACAGGTCAGAGCAGACAGATGAGAAAACACACATATGACCTTTCAAGATCAGGGGATGCTTTGTTGACTGATACTGAAATTAACGGTCATTCTGAATTTATTGCCAATGGGTATGCAAAGCATTCTCTAAGTGTTAAAAATATTTTTTATAATACTGCTTCCTTTTAGTTATTTGATAACCTCTTTGAACTCAAAAACAAATGTTTTTTCTACCATGTTTTGCAGGAAATCAGAACATATGAATAGCAAGTTAAAGACTGACAGTAGCATGGTTAATATAGAGCTGTCTGATTTTGATAATACAGCTAAATTTTCATCGCTTGAATCTTGGGGGCTTGACAACGATCAACCAATTGCTGATGGTCCCATAGCTTCTGGTTATGATAAGTTGAATGATGGTTATAAAGACCAGTCTAAGTCTGATAAGTGCACAGAGGATTCACAGGAAAACAATGAAGTTGTTCATTCAAGCCACTCTCAAGACCTCAAAATGAAAGCACCCCTTAAAGCAACTAAAATAGTTATTAAAAAGAAACAGCCTCTAGAAGACATTGAAGGTCCTTCCAAACTGAAATTTGGTAGTTCCAAGACAGATTCAATCGGTACTAGAAATGATGTAATCTCTGGAAATCCCTCTTTTAAAGGGCCTGATCGATTACCAGAAGCACTAGAAGGGGGAGATGGCAGAAGTACAAGTTATCCGCAGCTACTTAATTCATATTCTGACCAGAGAAGTTATAACCACGTACATGAAAGGAATAAATTAAATAAAAGGGAACCTAAACCTAATGGTTTTGGTTTTGATCTGGAAGAAAATGCTTCAGTTTACAGCAATCAGCATAGCTTAGGAATTGATTTATCTAATGCTGGCAGCGATCCTATTCGTCGAGCGCGATCAATTAGGATGAAAAAAACTTACGAGGAGCCAGATGCTTTGAACGAGAGGATTAAAATCCGAGGTGGCCAAAGTTCAAGGGGCACATCCAGCCGGGAAGGTTCTTCTATCAAAGTGTCTGATGAACTTCATCAAAGAACAAGGTCTGCTAGAAACAGGTCTGATGAATATATTGCCAATGATCCTGGTATTTTAGCTCAAAGCATGCCAAATTACCATGTCAAAAAGCTTTCATGGCTAATGCTTTCGGAAGAGCATGACGAGGGTTACCGTTATATTCCTCAACTCGGGGATGAAGTTGTATACTTGAGACAGGTAGTTTATGTTATCATTATTTTTTCTTCCTCATAGATCATACTATCGACTATTTTTTGGAATGCAAGTTGTTGAAATACAAGAGACTAAGAGACATTTGAATAAACCGTGTGTTTTGAAAAGCACTACGGAGACATTATTATATATAAATAGATTACACCTAATTACATAATATAGTCGATGTGGGACTATTCTATATACAAATATTCTTAACACTTTATATATATATTTACAAATATCAACACTCCCCCTCAAGCTTGAGCATATAAGTCAAATGCACCAAGCTTGTTACATATATAGTTAGTTCTGGGGCTTCGTAGGGATTTTGTAAACACATCTGCCAATTGATCATTAGAGTTGACAAAGCTTGTGACGATGTCGCCTGACTCGATCTTCTCTCTGACAAAGTGACAGTCTATCTCAATATGTTTGGTCCTCTCATGAAAGACTGGATTTGAAGCAATGTGCAATGCAGCTTGATTATCACAAATAAGTGTCATTGGTCTTGCTTCTTCAATTTGAAGTTCCTTGAGCAACTGTTTTAACCAAATAAGTTCACATGTTGCCATTGCCATCGCCCTATACTCTGCCTCGGCGCTTGATCTTGCAACTACATTTTGTTTCTTACTTTTCCAGGATATAAGGTTTCCTCCAACAAGTACACAATACCCAGAGGTGGATCGTCTATCAATGGGTGACCCTGCCCAATCAGCATCAGAGTATCCAATTATCTGGGTATGTCTTTTATCCTCATACACAAGACCTTTTCCTGGAGCACATTTGATGTATCTCAAAATCCGGATAACAGCATCCATATGTTCCTGACAAGGGGAATTTAAAAACTGGCTTACCACACTGACTGCAAAAGAAATGTCCGGACGAGTGACTGTGAGATAATTCAACTTTCCAACCAATCTCCTATACCTTCCTGAGTCAGATAGAGGCTCCCCCTGATTGGGTAGTAATTTAACACTTGGATCCATAGGAGTATCGGCTGGTTTAGCATTTAACAAACCTGTTTCTTCCAAAATATCCATAGCATATTTCCGCTGAGAAATCACCAAACCATCTTTAGATTGGGCTACTTCAATACCCAAGAAATAACGGAGTTTACCAAGATCTTTTGTCTGAAATTGTTTCGAGAGATGTTGTTTCAACTGGAGTATTCCCTGCTGATCACTACCAGTTATGACAATGTCATCTACATACACAATAAGATAAATACACCCTTGGGGTGAGTGACGATAAAAAACAGAATGGTCAGCTTCACTACGGATCATACCAAACTGTTGTACTACAGTGCTGAATCTGCCAAACCAAGCTCTCGGAGATTGCTTAAGACCATAAAGAGACCTGTGTAGCCTACAAACCATATTCGATGACTCCCCCTGAGCAACAAACCCAGGTGGTTGCTCCATATATACTTCCTCTTCAAGATCGCCATGTAAGAATGCATTTTTGATGTCAAGTTGATGAAGAGACCAATGTCGAATGGCTGCAATGGCTAGAAGAAGTCTAACAGATGCCATCTTGGCTACAGGTGAAAAGGTATCACCATAATCCAACCCAAAAATTTGAGTGTATCCTTTGGCTACTAAGCGAGCTTTAAATCGATCAATCTTGCCATCTGGACCAACCTTCACTGTATAAAGCCAACGACAACCTACTAAAGATTTTCCATGGGGTAGAGGAACCAGTTCCCAGGTACCACTGCTTTGAAGAGCACACATTTCATCAATCATTGCTTGCCTCCACTCAGGGTGAGATAATGCTTCACCTGGAGTTTTAGGAATAGAAACAGAAGACAAAGAAGACAAACAAGTATACTGCAAAGGGGAAAGACGATGATAACATAAATCAATATAATGTGGAGAAGGATTTCGTGTTTGACGTATACCTTTTCGAAGGGCAATCGGAAGATCAGACTCAGGTTGCAGGATCGAATCCGGTGATGGCGAGAGCGTCGGAGGAGAGTCCATAGTGACCTCAGGGACAGGTACAATTTCAGGGACAGGTACGACTACAGGGACAGGTACAACTTCAGGGACAGGTACGACAGACTTTGGGTGACGACGCTGATATGTTTGAAGTGGGCGAGTGGGGGGGTCAACCGTAGGGGTAACTAGTGGGTCAGGTTCCCTAGAATGATGGGGGATAATGACAGATGGGACTTCCGGAAGAGGTGTGGGAATACTTTCCCGTAGAGGTTCTGTAGTTACTTGGCTGGATTCGAAATATGGAACAGACTCGAAGAAGGTAACATCGGCGGATACGAGGTATCGTTGTAGAGTATGTGAGTAGCAACGATAACCTTTTTGGGATCGATGATAGCCAAGAAAGACACACTTTAGTGATCGAGCTGATAGTTTATCAAGACCAGGGGAGAGATTGTGTACAAAACACGTTGACCCGAAGACTCGAGGAGGAATTGGGTGGAGTGGAGAGTTTGGAAACAGGATTGAATGAGGGATTTTATTATTAAGGACAGATGAGGGCATGCGATTTATGAGGTAACATGCTGTGAGCACCGCATCTCCCCAAAACCGGAGAGGAACATTACCATGGAGAAGTAGTGTCCGAGTGGTTTCTACGAGGTGCCGATTTTTGCGTTCGGCTACCCCGTTTTGTTGGGGTGTATGAGGGCAAGATGTTTGGTGCAAAATACCATTGGATGACATAAATGTTTGAAATTGTTGGGATAAATATTCACGTGCATTGTCACTTCTTAGGGTACGAATAGATAAACCAAATTGGGTTCTTATTTCTCGATAAAATTGTTCAAAAATAGAAAACAATTCAGACCTGTTCTTCATTAAAAATAACCATGTGCAACGTGAAAAATCATCAATAAAGGTTACAAAATACCTAGACTCAAAAGTAGACACAGTACGTGAGGGACCCCAAACATCGGAGTGGACTAAAGCAAAAGGGGACGCAGCCCGTTTATTGACTCGATCGGAAAAGTGACTACGAGTATGTTTTCCTAACTGACAAGACTCACAATGTAAAGTGGATAATTTAGATAAACTGGGCACCAACTTTTGTAGCTTGGGAAGACCTGGATGACCTAACTGCGCATGTATAATGAGTGGAGAATCTGTGGTGGAACATGTGGTAGATGACGTAGAGAAGTAGTAGAGGCCTTGAGACTCACATCCGACGCCAATCGTCTGTCCCGAACTCCGATCCTGCATAGTAACATTACTATTAGTAAAGGTGATAGAACAATTAAGGGAACGAGTTAAACGACTGACTGACAGTAAATTAAATGGGCAATTAGGTACATAAAGGACAGAAGTAACAGAGAGAGACGGTAAAATTTGAACAGTACCAATCCCTTGGGATCGGGTTTGAGAACCATTTGCTGCAGTTATAATAGGCAAGAAACCAGAGGTAGAGAGGGAGGAAAAAAGACCTTTATTACCAGTAACATGATCAGACGCACCAGAGTCAAGGACCCAAGGACCAAGAGGAGATGATTGAGAGAAGCAAACAGATGAATTACCGGTGTGTGCAACCGAAGCAGTGGAACCAGAGATCTGATTAGTCTGACACCATCTGAGAAAATCTTCGTAGCTTGGCGTAGGGTTCTGAATAGAAGGTGAAGTCTGCATAGTTTCTGAGTTATCACTTTGAGCTGCATTTACCTGGCGTGGGGGTTTGCCATGTAGCTTCCAACAACGGTCGATAGTATGTCCAAGCCGGTTACAATGGTTACACTTGGGACGAGGTTTGGAGTTGGATGACCCTCCTCGAGGACGACTCTGATTGTTGCCCAGAGATGCGAGGGCAGCAGTGTCACCTGGTGTAGCAACAGTAGATGGAGGGGAAACCGGACCAAACGCATGAGGTGTAGCCAAGCGCAACAGTTGTTCACTAACTGCATCATAGTTAGGAACAGTAGTACCTGATAAAATCTGGTTACGAACGGAGTCGAGTTCGGATGGTAGTCCTTTAAGTGCCATCACCATGAAAAATTTACTCTGTTGTTCGGCATGAGCTGTTGCGTCTTTTGCGTACGGCATGAGGGTTGCGTAACTTGCTTTCAAAGCATCAAGGTTACTCAGATAGGTTTGCATATCCATATTTTCCATCTTTAGTGTGTCGAGTTTGAGGATGACACTGTATAGACAATGAACGTCGTTGGAGAAGACTTTCTTGGCCTTTTCCCAAACTTCATAGCAAGTGGAGAAGGCTTGATACTGTGCTTGGAGGTTAGGTGCTATGGAGAACCATAACACGGTAAGGAGAGAGGCATCTGTTTTCTTCCATTTAGCAAGTTTGTCGGAGGCAACATTAGTCAATTGTGTGGTTAGGTGATCTTCATATCCCTGACCACGAAACCACATATCGACAGCACGCGCCCATATGTTATAGTTTGCTGATCCGGTCAATTTTTCACATGGGATAAGAGGAACTTTAGTAAACGAGTCTCCCATAGCTTAATGACACAAACAATCGGGGTTGCTTGCACTGGAGCACCGTTTTCCGTGAGTCGGAAAGTAAAACAGAGGTCGGATCTGGAATGGGTGAGGAGAGGTGAGTAGATCAGCAGAAAAACGGTCGGAATCAGCCGTCGGTCGCGCTAGGGCAGCGGGAAAAAGGGGCTCTGGGGCAGCAGCGGGAAACGGATCGGAAAATCAGTAATCCGTGGCGGCGGGGCTCTGGGGCAGCAGCGGGAAACGGATCGGGCTCTGGGGCAGCAGCGGGAAACGGATCGGAAAATCAGTAATCCGTGGCGGCAAGGCGGTTGAGAGGCAAACCGGAGTGACAACACGGTTTGCCAAAAAAAAATTTTTTTCTCACCGGAAGACAGTAGGTCAACCGGGTAAAATACGGCAAAGAAAGAATTGTCTCTTGTTAATAGGCTCTAGATACCATGTTAAGAAATGTGGTTAGGCCTAACTCAACCCTACAAAACCGGTTGGTAGAGTGAGGATTGCCCCCACTTATAAACACATGTTCAAGTCATATATTGTCCGATGTGGGACTCTTAACACACCCCCTCACGCTCAGGACTGGACAACTGAAGCGTGGAAATAAATGGTGGGTGGCCCGATAGCGGAAACCATAGAAGGTGGCCCACCGGATCTTAAACCAGGCTCTTGATACCATGTTGAAATACAAGAGACTAAGAGACATTTGAATAAACCGTGTGTTTTGAAAAGCACTACGGAGACATTATTATATATAAATAGATTACACCTAATTACATAATATAGTCGATGTGGGACTATTCTATATACAAATATTCTTAACACTTTATATATATATTTACAAATATCAACACAAGTTTCTGCAATATCTTTCCTGGTTTACATTCTTGAGCATTTTGTATTGCCAGGGTCATGACGAATACAAAACCTCATGTCTTACGACGTCTGAACAAGGTCCGTGGTCATTATTTAAAGGACTAAGGGCTGTTGAAATTTGCAAAGTTGATAAACTTGAGTATGCAGAGGTCCCAGGTTCTGGGGATAGCTGTTGTAAGCTCAGACTGAGATTTGTGGATCCTTCTTCATTTGCGTTTAATAAATCATTCAAATTAACTTTACCTGAGTTGAACGACTTCTCCGATTTTGTTATTGAGAAAACATTCTATGATGCTGTCATGAAGAGAAATTGGTCCCCAGAAGAAAAATGCAGAGTATGGTGGCGGAATCCAGATGGGGAAGGTGGAAGTTGGTGGAAAGGTCAAATAGTTGAAGTGAAGGCCAAATCTGATGCATTCCCTGACAGTCCTTGGGATAGGTTTGAGGTAAAGTATGATACTGATCCAATAGAATATCATCGACATAGTCCTTGGGAACTCAATGATCCTGGGATTCAACGAGAGCACCCCCACATTGATCCTGAGATTCAACGAGAGCGCCCCCACGTTGATCCCGAGATCAGAGATAAGCTGCTGTCTTATTTCACTAAATTACACAGGGTGAGTAGACATGAATTTCCATTTCTCCTAATGTACCCGTTTTACCTCCTTAAATGAGGATTGTTTGGTATATCATATATATGAAAAAATTTCTCATTCATTTTTTATTTCAAGAAAACAAGAGTGACATGTTGTGTTTTGGCTTTGGGAGGGTGGAGGAAATCAGATGTTAACCTTGTTTTTATCTTTCTAAATCCAGGATAAGTATGATATCCAGGCACTGAACCGAGTAGCAGCGAAGTCGGACTATTCAAACAGGTACTAAAACAAATTTACAACATAACAATCCATCAGATTCATATTTCTATTCTGGAAAAAAAGACAAACATCGTTCGTATATCATTTCCCCTTTTATTTGATAGGCATTTTCGGTGAATTTGGCACAAATAAATGAAATAAAAAGAAATGACAGAAATAAAGCAACAGCTTAAATTTTGAACTTATAACGTGTCTTTGGATTTGTGCTACAGGTTTCCTGTTCCATTTTGTCCCGAACTGATTCAGTTAAGGCTAAAGAATGATTACTATCGGAGTGTGCAAAGTGTCAAGCATGATATAACGGTGATGCTATCAAATGCTCAAGACTACTTTACAGTTACAAAAAATGATAAGCTGCAGGGGAAGGTCAAGCGAATATCAGAATGGCTTAGAAGAAAACTTGAAAGGATATAGAAAACTCAAAATGGGTTTATATAGGTTACTTCTAACATTGGTTTTCATTCTTTTACCCAATTTTGGAGAACTAATTGGTCTTTATGCAATGATTTTGTAGAATGTATAAGGCCATAGGTGGTGGTAAATATTAGTTGTTACCTGTGTATATTTGTTATACATACAGATCTTCCTTTTTAATGCTACAAGTGTTATACTCAGTTTCAGTTTTAAAAGAAAATGTTGTACTTATTAGAATATTAATAGTAATTCATATTTATTTAGTTGTACTATTTTCCTAGCCCCAAAGTTTGTTAGAGGGTATTTTAGTATTTTATCTTATTCTAGTAACCCTAGTTTTAGCTTATAAATAGGGTGACAATCATTGTAACTTTTATCATGTTTTGTAGCCGTCATTCTTAATAGAATATTTCCTTTGTTCATCATTTATTCACCTTTGCAAACAATTGGTATCTAGAGCTCCGGTTCGGATTCATTGGGAAACACGGGAAACACGAGTGAACGTGAGGTCTTGTGTGTTTGATTTTGATTCTTAGATTCGTGTTGAATCTTGAACAAAATCTGATCAGAATTTTATTCTGTGGGTTGGGAAACACTGTGAGAAATCTGAGTGTATTGTGCAAGGTGAAGATGAACGGAAACGGCAACATGAACACCAAGCTTCCAGTATTTGACGGTAAAAACTGGAATCGTTGGATGATCCAAATGCGTGTACTGTTTGGTGCTCAAGATGTTTTAGATCTTGTCACTGATGGTTATGTTCCGGTAGCAGCAGATGCAACAGATGAATAGAAAAACGTGCAAAAGGAAGTAAGGAAGAAGGATCAGAAAACATTATTCTTTATTCATCAATGTGTTGATGTAAATGTGTTTGAGAAGATTGCAGATTCAACGACAGCAATGGCTGCGTGGGACACACTGGTTAGATGTTATGGTGGTGACGCATCAGTGAAGAAGGTGAAGCTTCAGTCTTTGAGAAAGCAATATGAGAATCTCAACATGAAGAATAATGAGAAAGTTTCTGAATACATCTCCAGAGTGATTCTGATCACTAATGAGATGAAGGCGTGTGGAGAAACTCTTTCTGAAGAAACGATCATAGAGAAGGTATTGAGATCCCCTACCTCTCAATTTGATTACATTGTGGTAGCAATAGAACATTCCAAAGATCTGAGTACCATGAGAATTGAAGAGCTGCAGAGCAGTTTAGAAGCGCAAGAGTTGCGTTTGACTGAGAGAACTTCTGAAAGGGAAGTAGAGCAGCAGACTCTGAAAGCAACTTCTGATAGGAGGTATCAGAAGCAGTCAGAAGCCAAGAGAAGATCTGATGGTGGTCAGAAGTCAGAAAGCTCAATCTCTGATAGGCAAAAGAATGCTCAGAAGGGAAAAGAGAAGTATGACAAGAAGAAGATCCAATGTTACTGTTGTAAGAAGTTTGGTCACTTTGCTAGAGATTGTTGGTCAAACAAGGAGAAGAAATCAGAAGAAGCAAATATAGCCAGAAGTTCTGATGACGAATCTGTGCTATTGATGACCTCTGAATCTGATGATATGGATCTGACAGACTGGTGGTATATGGACACTGGCTGTTCAAATCATCTTACTGGAAATAAGAAATGACTGGTTGACTTTGACTCTGAAAAGAGGACAAAGATCAGATGTGCTGATGACAAATATCTTAATGCAGAAGGTATGGAAAATGTCAGAGTGACTCTGAACAATGGGAAAACAACATTGATTCAGAACGTGTGATATGTACCTGGCATCAGAAGCAATCTGATGAGTGTGGGACAATTAATTGAGAAAGGTTTTTCAGTTACCATGAAGGACAATCTTCTGAAGCTGTATGACTACAATCAGAAGTTGATTATGGAGTCAGAACAGGGAAGGAATAGAACATTCAAGGTGAATGTCAGAACTGCAGACTCAGAATGTCTTAGTGCAACATGTGCTGAGAAGGAGAGTGAGCTGTGACACAGAAGATTTGGTCATTTGAATTTCAGAAGCCTAAAACATTTGAATTCAAAGAAGCTGGTACATGGAATTCCTGCAATTAAGAAGCCTGAGAAGTCATGCAAAGTTTTCATGGAAGGAAAACAACCACGTTTGTCATTTGCGTCAGAAGTTGCTCCAAGAGCAAAACATGCCTTGGGAGTTGTACATTCTGATGTGTCGTCCATTTCCAGTAGCATCAATTGGAGGGAATAAATACTTTGTGTTATTTGTTGATGAATTCACAAGAATGACATGGGTATCCCTTATTAAGTTCAAACACGAGGTGTTTGATGAATTCAAGAAATTCAGAATGAAGGCTGAGAATCAGAGTGGTCAGAAGTTGAAGATTCTTAGAACTGACGGTGGAGGTGAGTATAACTCCAAAGAGTTCCAGAAGTTTTGTGAGGAGAATGGAATTGAGCATGAGGTTACTGCTCCTTATACCCCTCAACACAATGGTCTTGCTGAAAGAAGAAACCACACTTTGCTTGATATGGTGAGAAGCATGCTAAAGGAGAAGAAACTTCCTCAGAAGCTCTGGGGAGAAGCTGTTGCCACTGCAACGTATGTACTCAACAGATGTCCTACGAAGAAGTTGAAGGAAATAGTTCCTATGCGGAAGTGGACTAGAGACAAGCAAAGTGTTAATCATTTGAAGGTGTTTGGCTCTGTTTGCTATAAACATGTTCCAGAAGCCAGAAGACAGAAGCTGGATGATAGAAGCAAAGTGATGATTCTGATAGGGCACCACAGTACAGGTGCATACAAGCTATATTGTCCAGAAACCAATAAAATTGAATTCAGCAGAGATGTGATTGTGAAGGAATCAGAAGTTTGGAATTGGGATAAGTCTCAATCTGATTCTGATGTTAGAACTTCTGAAGAAAGGTCAGAGTTAAGAATTTCTGAAGTTGAAGTAAACTCTGATGTTGATTCTGACTCTGATAGTGATTCTCACTCTGGAGAAGACTCAGAAGATGAAGGTGACTCTGATGATCTAGACTCTGATGGTAATCCAGATTCTGGTGGAAATTCAGACTCTGAAGATGGCCAAGACTCTGAAAATATGCCAGATCTTGAAGATGGTCAAAGCTCTAGAGGAAGTCAACCATCTGAAGCTGGAAACTCTGAAGCTCAAGACTCTGAACAAGTTCAGAAACCACAAAGAATCAAAAGCGTTCCCAGAAGATTTGCAGAATTTGACATGCTGTAAGACACTGAAGTAGACTCTGAAGGAGAAGTTATTCAGTGTGCCATGTTAGTAGACTCTGAACCTATAAGTACAGAGGAGGCTCTTAAGCAGAAGCTCTGGCTGAAGGCCATGAAAGAAGAACTTGATGCTATAGAGAGAAACAAGACTTGGAAGCTGACAGAACTTCCAAAAGACAAGAAAGCCATCAGCGTCAGATGGGTTTTCAAGCAGAAGTTAAAGCCAGATGGCTCAATTGGCAAACATAAAGCAAGATTGGTAGCCAGAGGATTTCTACAAAAACCTGGGCTGGATTACTCTGAAGTGTTTGCACCTGTAGCAAGACATGAAACAATCAGAATGGTGATTGCAATAGCTGCTAACAGGAATTGGCCTCTGATGCATTTAGATGTAAAATCTGCATTTCTGAACGGTCCATTAGAAGAAGAAGTTTACGTGTCACAACCTCCTGGATTTGTGAAAAAGAATCAGGAAGGGATGATGTACAGATTATACAAAGCTCTATATGGATTGAAACAAACGCCCAGAGCTTGGAATCAGAAAATTGATTCATTTTTCAAGAAGCAAGGCTTTCAGAAATGTGAGATGGAGTACGGTGTCTATGTTCAACATACTTCTGAAGGTAATATGACTCTGGTATGTTTATATGTTGATGATATACTGCTGACTGGAAGTTCTGAACAGGAGGTAGCCAAGTTCAAGAAGGTTCTAATGAATGAATTTGAAATGACTGATCTAGGCAAAATGACATACTTTCTAGGGATGGAGTTCAGATATTCTGAGAAATGTATCATTTTGCATCAGCTCAAGTATGAATTAGAACTTCTGAAGAGATTTGATCTGAAGAATTGTAAGATGGCTGTCACACCTTCTGATACAAATCAGAAACTGGATTCAGACTCTGAAGGAAAGGATGTGGACGCTACAACCTTCAAACAGTTGGTTGGTTCTCTGAGGTATCTGTGCAATACCAGACCTGATATTTGCTACTCAGTTGGGATGGTTAGTAGGTTCATGAGTAAACCTAAGTGGTCCCATTACCAAGCTGCTGTCAGGATTCTGAGGTATATCAAAGGAACTCTGAAGTATGGAGTGTTATTTCCCTCTGGAGGAAATAATGAGTCAGAACTTCTGAGTTATTCAGACTTTGATTGGTGTGGAGACAGAGTTGACAGAAGAAGTACATCTGGGTACTTGTTTAAATTTCTGGGAGGTTCCATTTCTTGGTGTTCCAAGAAGCAACCTGTTGTGGCGTTGTCAACCTGTGAAGCTGAATACATTGCAGGTGCTGTTACTGCATGCCAAGTTGTGTGGATTCTGAATCTATTGCAGGATCTGAAGATTAAAGTAGACAAACCTTTGAAGTTGATGATTGACAACAAGTCTGCAATCAATCTTGCCAGAAACCCAGTGTTGCATGGGAGAAGCAAGCATATTGAGACCAAGTATCATTTTCTGAGACATCAAGTTCAGAGTGGAGTGTTAGAAGTTTTACACTGCAGCACTCAGAAGCAGTTGGCAGATGTTCTGACGAAAGCTATCAAGACTGATCAATTTCTCAGACTAAGGGATGTAATTGGTGTTACAAGTTTTGATGGAATATGAATTAAGGGATGATATTAGAATATTAATAGTAATTCATATTTATTTAGTTGTACTATTTTCTTAGTGTTGCACCCCAAAATTTGACCAACATTTATTTACCTATCAAGTGTTTGAAAGTTGATACCTTCGTCAGAAAGTTCAGGAGATTCTCAGAAGAATTGGTTGAAACCAAGGTTGTGTGCTTCATAGC